GGAGTGTTTTTCTCAAGTTAATAGTTTAACTGTCATTGTTGCAATTTCAATAAAAATTGAAAAGTATAGCCAGACAGACATCAGATTAAAATTTGATTTTTCACCCTAGCTGTTTTGGCTCAGTGGATAGAACATCAGCCTGCAGACCAAAGGGTCCTGGGTTCAATTCTGGTCAAGGGCATGTACCTTGGTTGCAGGCTTCTCCCTGGCTTGGGCCCTGGTCAGGGCTTGTGCAGGAGGCAACCAATCGATGTGTTTCTCTCACATCGATGTTTCTCTCTGTCTTTCCCTCTCTTCTACTCTCCCTAAAAATCAATGGAAGAATATCCTCGGGTGAGGATTAACAACAAAAAAGAAACTTTGAAAAAGGGAAAGCCCAGCCTGTGTGGCTCAGTGGTTGAGCATGGACCTATGAACCAGAAGGGATTCCAGGATAGGGGTTCCCGCTGGGTTGATCCCTGGTAGGGGGCATGCAGGAGTCAACTGATCAATGAATCTCTCATCACTGATGTTTCTCTCTCTCCCCCGATTCCTCTCTGAAATACACACACACACACACACACACACGTATATAAAATCTTAAAAAAGAAAGAAAAATGCCCTAGCCGATTGCTCAGTGGTTAGAGCGTTGGCCCATCCACCAAAGGGTCTTGAGTTCGATTCCCAGTCAAGGATATGGGTCACATCGATGTTTCTCTGTTCTTGCTCTCTGTGTTCCCTCTCTCCCTCTTCCATTGTCTCTAAAAAGCAATGGAAAAAATTTCCTCCAGTGAGGGTTAACAAAAAAAAAAAGGGTGGGCAGAGGCGAAAAGGACAAATGAAAGCAATTCGTGCCTTTATTCTGCCCCTTACTCTTTTTAAAAAATTGTTCTGGATTTTAGAGAGGGATAGAGAGGGAAAAAACCATAAATTTGTTGTTCCACTTATTTATGCATTCATTAGTTGCTTCTTGTATATGCCCTAACCGAATATCGAACCCGCAACCCTGACATATGGGAGGACACTCTAACCAACTGAACTACCTGGCAGAGCTGCCTCTTGCTCTTTAAGTGAAGTATTGTGGGCATTCAAATGAGTGTAGACAAAAATATAACAGAAAGCCCTGGCCCAAATGGCTCAGTTGTTTAGAGTGTTTCCCGGTGCACTGAAGAGTCCATTCCTGGTCAGGGCACATGCCTAGATTTTGGGTTTGAGCCCCAATTGGGGCACATATGGGAGGTAACTGATCGATGTTTCTCTCTCACATCGATGTTTCTCTCTCTCTCTCTCTCTTTGCCTCCCTCTTTCTAGAATCAATGGAAAACATATCCTAAGGAAGGATTTTTATATACATAAAACAACAAAACCCACTGTAATCATTACCACAATTAAGAAATAACGTCCAGCCCAGCGGTGTGGCTCAGTGCTTGAGCATCCAACTATGAACCAGGAGATCGAGGGTTCTATTCCCAGTCAGGGCACATGCCCAGGTTACAGGCTCAATCCCAGCTAGGGGGCATGCAGGAGGCAGCCAATTGATGATTCTCTCTCATCATTGATGTTTCTACCTCTCCCTCTCCCTTCCTTTCTGTACAAAATCAATAAAATATTTTTTTTAAAAAAAAAGAAAGAAAGAAAAGATTACAGATATGAGCCCTGGCCAGTGTGGTTCAGTTAGTTGAGTGTCGTTCCCTGCATTGAAAGATCACTGGTTTGAGTCCAGGTCAGGGCACATATACAAGTTTTGGGTTCAATCCCTGGTCGAGGAGCACATACAGAGGCAGCCAATCAATGTTTTTCTCACATCAATGTTTCTCTCTCTCTCCCCCTCTCCCTCCCTTCCTCTCTTGCTGAGAGAAAAAAATCAATAAAAACATACTAATAAAATAAAAGATTACAGATATGAAAGAAACTTGCTCTATACTTATGCCTAATTCCTGGATTTGCCCATTGTAATCCCCATGGTTGTATTCATAGTTTTACTAAACATATATCCATTCACAAAAGATACATAAAATTGTTTTGTGTGTTTTAAACTTAATATGCATGGCATCATAATATATACATTCTTTTAACTTTCACCACTACTCCATTTCGTATTACATCCTTTTCACTGATAAAGAATATTCTACTGCATATACATACCCAAAATTTATTTCTCCATTATCCAAATTTTAACCATTACATTCCTGCAAAGAACATTTTGAAACATGACTCTTTTTCACCTGGCTTTTACCCTTACTGCCTATCAGTGGTTCACATTCCTGGCTGCACATTCAAGTCACTTTTAAGTGCGAAATTGTTGTCCAGACCCCGCTCTGGATCAATTATGCTGGAATCTTTGGGGAATGGCCCCATACACTAATGTTTTTAAAAAGCACCCAGGGCTGCTTTGAACCCCTGGGCTACATCGTTATATACAGCCATAGGTCTCAGGTTTGAGCCTGCATCAGTGTCAACCGGAGGGCTCCCACACAGAGGGCCCCACCCATAGAGTATCTGATTCGGTATTGGTGCCTGAGAACTTGCATTTCTAACAAATTCCCAGGTGATGTTGATGCTACGGCCAGGGAACCACACTTTAGAGTGCCCTTATTCTTTAACATCTGCATAGTATTCCATCCTATGATATTCAGTCATTTCTTTAACAAGTCCTCTATTCTCGGATATTTAGGTTCTTTTCCATCTTTGGATACAAGAAAAACAACTCTCTACAATGGAACATCATTCAGCTATAAAAATCAATGAAGTACTGTATTAATTTGCTAGGGCTGCCACAATAAAGTACCTAGGGGGCTTTACCAACATATATTGGTTGTCTCATGGCTCTGGAGGCTAGAAGTGCAAGATCAAGGTGTCGGCAGGTTGGTTTCTTCTGAGACCTCTCCCCTTGGCTTGTAGATGGTCATCTTCGCTCTGTATCTTTGCACCCTAATGACCTCATTTTAATTAAATTACTTCTTTAAAGACCCTATTTCTAAATATGGTCATACACTGAGGTTAACACTGAGGGTTAGCACCTTAACACATGAATTCTGAGGGGATACAACTCAGTTCATAACAAGTACTGATATATGTTAGTTACCATATGGATGAACCTCAAAAACATGCTAAGTACAAGAATCTAGACACAAATAGTCACATATTGTATGACTCCATTTATATGAAACTTCCAAAATAGGCAATTCCATAGAAATGGAAAGTAGATTAGTGGTTGCCAAGGACTAAAGGGAGGGGAGAATTGGAGTGACTGCTAATGGGTATGGAGTTTCCTTTTTGGGTGATGAAAATGTTCCAGAATTAGATAGAAGTGGTGATGGCACAACATTGTGAATGTACTAAATGGCACTGAAGTTTTCACTTTAAAATGATTAAATTTTAAATATATTTTTATTGATTTCAGAGAGGAAGGGGGGGAGAAAGAGAGAGAGGGGGGAGGGAGAGGGTGAGAGAGAAATATCAATGATGAGAATGATTGATCGGCTGCCTTCTGCATGATTCTCATCATTGATGTTACTCTCTCTCTCTCTCCCCCAACAGGCATGTGCCCTGACTGTGAATCGAACTGTGACCTCTTGATTCATGAGTTGATGCTCAACCACTGAGCAACACTAGCCAGGCTAAAATGATTAATTTTATGTTGTGTGAAGTTTACCTCAATTTAAGGGTGCCCTCAGAAGCCCCTCTCCCATGACCATTTGGTACTGACTATGTGCCCAGTGCTGGCCAGCAGCTGAAACTCTCCAGGCTGTTTTGACCTCAGAGTGCCTTCTCTTAATCTCTAGGCTGATGTTTCTCAACATGATTCCAAATTTCCTGACCTGAGAGGACTCTGCAGTTCAGAAGTGCCACGCCTGACTGTCCATCGGCCCCAATCCAGGCACTTTCTTCCTTTTTCACCTCCACTATAGTTATTGTGTATCTCACCCAAAGTCTGTGAGCTGTCTGAGGTGAGGGACCATCTCTACCTCATTTCCTGCATCTTCCAAGATCCAAAAATTACAGGAAGTGATCACCCAGTAAAACCTGAATGACAAGAAAAAGCCCATCGGTAAAGATCCTGGGAGAAAATGGAGAAAATTCTAGGCCTGGTAATAGCAAAGGTAATTATTGCACAGTCTCAGGGACCACATGGTGACATGCCCCTTCTATTTCCTAATGGGTCTTCCTGTTCCCACATGTTGACCCACTCAATGTCTTTTCAGTTTAGCGACCAGAGGAGAACCACAAATCACATCCATCACTCCTCTTCTCAAAGCCCTCCCATGGCTCCCCATTGTCCTTAGAATAAAAGTAAAACCCTCATCATATCCTCTAATGCCTGCATGGCTGGCCCCTGCCTGATGCACTTCATTCCCTGGACCTCAACCACAGATCTCAACCACATCTGTCCCTCAGGAAACGCTGGGGAAAGACTTAGATTTGTTGAGAACTCTAGGAAAACTTCCCCATTATACAAGCTCACTGCAGCATCATTTCCGCAATCAAAACAAACAATTTGGAAACAAATGTCCATCAAAACATCCTGATGGAATGAATAATTATGGTTTATTCATACCACAGACAATATCAAGCAGAGGTTGTTGTTGTTTTTTCAAACTTTTTTCCCCCACCACTAAGCACAGTAAGAAATACATCTTATTTACAGGTCTTGACAAGGAGACCTTGACAATCCTTTGATTGACATGGTCTTTGACCCCTCCCCTTGAACTGAGACAACCCTTTTTTTTTTTTTTAATATATTTTATTGATTTTTTACAGAGAGGAAGGGAGAGAGATAGAGAGTCAGAAACATCGATGAGAGAGAGGCATCGATCAGCCGCATCCTGCACATCTCCCACTGGGGATGTGCCCGCAACCAAGGTACATGCCCTTGACCGGAATCGTGCCCGCAACCAAGGTACATGCCCTTGACCGGAATCGTGCCCGCAACCAAGGTACATGCCCTTGACCGGAATCGAACCTGGGACCTTTCAGTCTGCAAGCCGACGCTCTATCCACTGAGCCAAACCGGTTTCGGCAGAGACAACCTTTGTGACTGGCTTGACCAATAGAATACAGTACAACAAAAATGATGTCATGTGACTTCCAAAATGCCTGCTCTTCAGCCTTGTTCATTTGGGACCCAGCTGCCATGTTGTGAGGAAGTTCAAACTGGCCCATATGAAGAGACCACTGTATAGATATTCCAGCTGACAGCCCAGCTGAGGCTCCAGCCAGCATCAATCATGAGACATGAACGAACGAAGATTCCTTCTGATGATTCTGGAGGACTGGCATCTAGACACTCAACTTTGAATTCTTCCCAGCTGGGGCTACAGACAGCATGGAGCAGAGATAAACCATCCCCACTGTGCCCTGCCTAAATTCCTGATCCACACAATTCAATGGCAAAATAAAAACGGTTATTTAGGGAAGGTTAGCATGTAATTGCAACTGAAATACTAGTATATACATCCATGTATATATGACAGAAATAAAAGTTTTACCAAACAATACTTACCCTTACTACATGTGATACAATCTGATATTTTTATTCCATTTTTTCCATTGAATAATCACCGTACACCCATGTTCATAGCAGCATTATTCATAATCGATAAAAGAAAGTAGAAGCAGCTCAAATGTACATCAGTAAATGAATGGATAAACAAAATGTAGTAAATATATATAATATTATTCAGCCTTAAAAAGAAAGGACATTCTGAAACATACTATAATGTGGATAAACTTGAGGACATTATGCTAAGTGAAATAAGCCAGTCATAGATGAACAAGTATTGTATGATTCCACTTATATGAGGTCCCTAGAGGAGTTAAATTCATAGAGACCGAAGTAGAATAGTGGTTATCAGGGACTAAGGAAAGGGAGAATGGGGAGTTAGTGTTTAATGGGGATGGAGTTTCTGTTTTGTAAGATGGCAAAGTAATACACTGCTGTAAAAAGAATGACCTTTTATCATTTGCAACAGCATGAATACAGCTGGAGAGCATTATGCTAAGCGAAATAAGCCAGTCGGAGAAAGATAAATATCACATAATCTCACTCATATGTGGAATATAATGAACAACATAAACTGATGAAAAAATAGATCCAGAGACACAGAAGCATCGAACAGACCATCAGACCTCAGAAGGAAAGCGGGGGAGCGGAGAAGGGGCGGGATAAGACATCAACTTGTATGCATGTATACAAGCATAACCAATGGACACAGATAGTAGGGGGGTAAGAGCATGTGCTGGGGGGTGGAAGTGGCCAGGGAGAGGTCAATGGAGACATACTAGTATGTAATACTTTAAACAATAAAGAATTTAAATTAAAAAAGAATGACAAAGTCCTGGAGATGGATAGTGGTGGTGATTACACAATGATGTGAATGTGCTTAATGCCACTGAGTAATATGCTTAAAAGTGGTTACAATGGTAAGTTTTATGTGTATTTTGTCACAATTAAAAAAATTCTTTTAGCCCTAATCGGTTTGGCTCAGTGGATAGAGCGTCAGCCTGCAGACTGAAAGGTCCCGGGTTCGATTCCGGTCAAGGGCATGTACCTTGGTTGTGGGCATATCCCCAGTGTGGGGTGTGCAGGAGGCAGCTCATCGATGTTTCTAACTCTCTATCCCTCTCCCTTCCTCTCTGTAAAAAATCAATAAAATATATTTTTAAAAATTTTTTTTTAATTAAAAATGTTTATAAATTATTCTTCCCTTAATTTTAAACCTAGAAATAAATAAGTGCTGGTTGTAACCTACCTCATTGATTTCCTGAATCAATAAAGGGCCCCATGACTCAAAATGTGAAAAACACAGCTACATAACATGTACAATAAACCTACAGGGATCCACATGGAAACATCTGGAAAGCAGAAGAGAGAAAAGTTGTAAATTAATACCTTCAGGATGCCATTTATGTGCACTGTTTAAAAATATAGATTGTACATTGTTTCCACAGACTCCAGATGAGTAGTGAATGCATAAAGGCTGGTCCTGGAAGAGTAAACTAATTTCAAAATAATTGTTAATCCTCAAAAGGGCAGCGAGGGAAATGGGTGGCATTTGTAGATGGAGGTATTACTGTCATTGGAGGCTTTCATAGGAGGGGTCAAGTTTTATAAAAAAGAAATTTTTTAAAAATGGTCTAAAGTAATCAAGTCAAAGTGTAAATACAGGGTAGGATGAAAGTAGGTTTACAGTTGTGAATACACAAAAGAGAGTTTTTTCTTGTATTATTAATCAATTAATTTATTTTCCCATTGCTTTTCAGAGAGAATGGAAGACAGGGAGGGAGGAAGACATATAAAAACAGGGAGACAGAGATCAATTGGAGCCACATCAGCCCATCCTGACCAAGGGCAGGGAGCAAACCACAACCCAGGTACCTGCCCTTGACCAGGAATTGAACCCGCAAACCCCTTGGTGTGCAGGTGGAAGCTCTAACCACTGAGCACACTGGTCAGGGCTCTTGCATTATTACTTATTAACTAGAGGCCTGATGCACAAAATTCGTGCAGGAGTAGGCCTTCCTTCCCCAGGCTGCCAGCACCAGCTTCCCTCTGGCACCCAGGGCCCGGGCTTCCCTCACAGCCCCAGCTTTGTCCAGAAGGAGGTCTGGTCTAATTAGCATATTATGCTTTTATTATTCTAGATTCTTTTTTTAAATATATTTTATTGATTTTTTACAGAGAGGAAGGGAGAGGGATAGAGAGCCAGAAACATCAATGAGAGAGAAACATCGATCAGCTGCCTCCTCCATGCCCCCCACTGGGGATGTGCCCACAACCAAGGTACATGCCCCTGACCGGAATCAAACCCGGGACCCTTGAGTCCGCAGGCCGATACTCTATCCACTGAGCCAAACCGGTTCTGGCTATTATAGATTCTTGTATTGTTCTCTATACAAACAACTGTAAATCTACTTCTGTATTTTGTACCACCCTGTATTTATTAAACCTGAGATAATGACGTTACTGTACTTTTCTGTTCTTATGAAATAATTAACACTGTAAATAATGTATACAGCAACTCTCTAGGATACATAAGAAACTAAAACAAGTTGAGAAGTGCTCAGATGGGGAAGGGGAAGATGGGGAGCAGGTAGGAGTAAGACAACTTGCTGTAATCCTTTTTGTTGCTTGCATTTTCATTTTTAAATTGTGAAATATAATAAGTCTACAGGGAAGTGGGAAACCGACACATATAGTTACCGTATTTGCCGGCGTATAAGACGACTGGGCGTATAAGACGACCCCCTAACATTTCCACTCAAAATACAGAGTTTGTTATATACTCGCCGTATAAGACTACCCCCTCTTCCGCACACCTTCCACACACCAATAAAAGGTAAAACAATATCAGATTTGATTTTAACATTTTAATTTATATTCAAATGCTTATGACATGCAGGAAAACTGTCACAAGGCTGTATGTAATCAAACATATACATAAAACAGTGCAAGTTTATTACCGGTAAACATACCGGTAATTCACTAAAGAAAACACACTCTATAGACTGGTACCGTAGATGCTTCTCAGGAACACAGGCAAGCAGCCCACAACCTAGAGGGACTGTCAATGATAGAAGAAAGAT